TCCAGGCCGCCAGCCGAACCGGTACGTTGACACTGGCGACCAACTGCGACCCAGATGCGCTCGAGCTGCCAGCCGCATCGCATCGCCTCCGCTCAACCCTCGATCGCGCGATTTACTGATCCATGCGACTCGTCTTTCTGCTTGTTTTTGCTCCGTATCGGCATCTCCGCCCTATCAAACCGGCTATCACACCGTCTGGCTCTTGCTCTCTTGCATCGGCGACCACCGATCATCAACACGTTCCATTCCGCATACTCTGCCCCGCCTGGCATGACTCTTGCCGACCCGGTCGAACACCGCCGCGCACTTCTTGCCAATCTCACCCAGGCGGCAAGGGTACCCCTCGCCGAAAGATGGCCCCCAAGCCCAAGGGCCCCGGCGGTGAGGACCCCAAGCTCCAGGCCGCGCTCAAGAAGCTCCAGGTCGAGCCCGTGTCTGGTATCGAGGAGGTCAACATGTTCAAGGAGGACGGCAACGTCCTTCACTTTGCTGCTCCCAAGGGTAAGTTGTTTCAGCCTTGCCGACTCGCATCACCACCCCAGATTTCCACGACGCATGGGTCCAGATCGATCAAAGGCGCGCACAATACGACCAGGCCGGAAGTCGTGCCAGCCGGGCTGGAAGAAGAGGTCTGCTGCCCATGACCGTCAATCTAAATCGGCATCGGAAAGCTCTCGCGGCACAGGGACTGGGTTAGGATGCACGGCTGCAGATGTTCGATCTGGAGCATTTACGCTACAATCGGAACCAAGCCGACACCTCGACAACGCCATGCATCGGCAGGAAGGCGATTGCGCACGCATCAGAATCACATCCGAACGACGTACTGACCACTCTCCCTGCATCCGCAACAGTTCACGGCCTCCCCACCAGCAACACCTTTGCTGTGTACGGCAACGGCGTCGACAAGGAGCTCACCGAGCTCGTGCCCGGTATCCTGAACCAGCTCGGCCCTGACTCGCTCGCCTCGCTACGCAAGCTCGCCGAGTCGTACCAGGCCATGAACGCCCAACACGCCGCGTCGCAAGCCGCTGCGGGCGCCTCCAAAGACGACGACGACGTGCCCGATGTCGTCGAGAACTTTGACGAGGCCGACAAGAAGGAGACCGAGGTGGACAAGCTCGACTAATCGAGTCGCGAACGTCTGCAGCGCTATGCTACTTGCACGAGCAGCGCATGGTTGTGGCTCCGGTTTCAGGTTCTTCGCTGAATCCTGCGTCTCAATCCCTCACACCCCCCAAAAAATCAAACACAGTTCTCGAACCAATACCTGGCACAGGCATGTGCATTCATGGCAGGTGGTGAACGGAGTCTACTCGGTGACGGTGAACTTGTGTGTGGCACCTTTTTGAAGGACACGTTTGTAGGCTGGGCGTTGTGCGCAGCGCTTGAGCCAGGCCAGCGTGTTTGGCCAGTCTTGCTTGTTTTTTGCGTTCGACGAGATGCCGGTGTCCATGTAGAGGGTGTATTCGGCAGAGAAGACGCACATGAGATCGGCTGCCGTCAGGCTGTCCCCCACAAGGTAGTCGCTGCCAGTCAGGGCGGATTCGAGGGCGTTGAGGTTGTTCTGAATGTTGGGCGTCATCTTTGCCTCGACTTGAGCTGCAGACGCAGGGTCGAGGAACCAGCGTGGGTAGATGGCCGCGAGGGTATGCACCATCATACCCTCGCTAAACGAGATCCACGCCTCGACATCTCCTCGCTTCTGCCAATCCTCGGCGGGACCCAGAAGCGAGCTTTCGGGCGCGTAACGCTGGATAAGGTACTTGACTTGGGCAGCCGATTCTCCAAGTTTGACCTCCGAGTCGACGAGGTAGGGTGACTTGCCCAGCGGGTTGCCGGATTCGGACTTGAGCGTTGGCTCGGCTCGTTTGCCTTCGATGCGTCGGTAGTGCTTGAGCTCGTAGTCAAGCTCGAGCTCCTCCATTGCCCATGCCACGCGGAACGCGCGCGAGTCTTCGAGGTAGTACAAGACGCGAGACATCGTAACCCAGCTTCACACACTTCAACGATGGTGGTAGCAGGCAAAGTCAACGTCGATGCTGGCCCCAAGCTAAAGGGGAAGGATTGGGCTGCACGATCCCAACACCGATTCGCCGACAGCCGCCGAACCGCTCCACCTCGGTGCGGGGTAAGAATACGCAAATGCCGCACGCGAGCCACGCTTAAATACGAACGGCCTGCACCGCCGATACATCCGTCAAGCAGCTTCCAGTCTCAACCTCGACGTTTCTCACTCGTGCGAAGGATACCGCAGCAGACTGCAATGCAAGGCGCCTACTCGGGAGAAGCGGGGCTCGATCCCGATCGATGGCACTTTGATCGGATCGGCGCCGCCGTTCGGCACGCTTCCGACCGGCTCAGCCCGGATTCGCGTGCTCAAGTGCAGGTAGGTTGCGTGAGTGGACTCATCAGCAAGCTCAGGCGCATCATACGCTCTCTCTTCGACCAGCATCACACCCGCTGCTACGAGGCGCATCCTGCAGACACTGCCAGACGCTGATATTCGGGGTGCATGTTGGTGGCTAGGCGAGCTTGCCTTCAGCCCATCGGTTGGTCTTGAGAGCCATTCTTTCATCGCAAACAAAGAAAAAAGGGACGAGGTCAGCACGAGTCTGTACGGGAGAAAGGCCTGGGTGGTGGTGGGATACATACTCGACGGCAGCCGAACCCCAGTCTAGGCCGTGGTTGTGGCCCTTGTTGGCGCCCCTTCCGACGCCGCTCCTCTCGAGCGCCTGGTCTTCGGTCAGCGCGGTCAGAACGCCAAGAATGACCGGCACGCCCGTGTCGAGGCCCACACGCATGAGGCCCGAGCAGCACGATTCCGAAATGTACTCAAAGTGCATCGTCGATCCCTTGATCAGCACACCGATGCCGATCACAGCATCCAGCGCCGCCTTGGAGGGCTTGGACGACGACCCGGCGACAGGAGTGGACGGCTTGCTGTTGTCGTCGAGCAGCGAGGTGGCACCCATGAGGTCCGACACGTTGGACGAGGCCTGCACCTGCGAGCCCGAGATGAGCCGCGACACGCCGTGCGGCAGCTCCCACGAGCCAGGCACACTCTCGATCACAATGTTCTCCGGCTTGACGCCCGCCTTGGTGATGGTCTCGACGCAGCCTTGGACAAGCGGCGTGATGCACTCCTCGTTCCATCGAGCATGCACAATGCCGATGCGCAGCTTGTCGGCGCCGGGGAAGGATGTAGGCGCCGGAGCGGGTCCCTTGATGCTCGCCATGGTGGTCTAGTGGGCGGTCGTGCGAAAGAGAGGTGAAAGACGACGGCTCGATACGAGGTGTCGATGGCGGAGGTACGGATGAGGTCCGGCGACGATTGCGTAAGGATGCAAAGACGAGGTTGGAAGGAAGAAGTCGAGGTTGGGGTTCAGCTCGGCTGCGGGCCACTTTGGCAGTGGATGCCGTCCGTGCGTGGCAGCGGACCACAGCCACGCGCACACGATGGCCGCCCTTTCACATCGCCCAGTCCGCGGACGCAGAGCGAAGCTCCAATTCGTCGGATCTCATGGTGATCGGCTCGCCTCCCGATCGGTTTCCAATCCGCGATTTGCTCGGTGATTTGCTCGGACCTCGTTCTCGGCGGCTCTTGACGGCCGCACAGGATCCGCTCACCACATGATCAGAGCGCAGTTGCCATCGCAAGGGTGAAAAAAAATCACGAAGAAACAGAGGATGCGAAAAGGTCATGTAAATAACATTGGGAAAAGATGCCAGCAGCGAAAGGGTGCGTGCCCTTGGTATGAGGAGAGTCGACACAATCGCAGGTACCAGGATGCAGTGTCGAGTGCTCCTATGCTCTGCATGCTGTCGGAGCTCGGATGACGGCTGGTTCAGCCGCGCACGCTTCTAACCAGCCCATCGATCCACGCACGATCCAGGGCGGTGTGTCCACCTTGGAGAAGGACGCCGTCAGCGTGTGCGGGATGCGTGACTTGCTGGAAGCCTGCCGCCGCGCCCGGTGCAGTGACACCGCGCTCGTGCCTCGCCCAGACACCACCAGCGCCGTTGGCAGCCTGGGCGCGATGGAAATGGGCAATGTGTGCGGCGTCTGCCATCTCGATCGTCGTTCCTGCACCACCGAATTCCGGCTTGAAGGTGTTTTCCAGTCGGCCTACGAGTCGAGCACGCTCCTGTTTCTGCTCGGCAGACATGCTGTTCAAGATTGCGTCTACATGGTGGTAGATGGCGTGTCGTCGAGCAGCGTACCTTGTGGGGTCGCGCCGCGCCTCAAAGATGTACCTGTCCAGGCCTTCCCTATCGTGGAGCGGAAGCGGCGATTGGTGTCCTGCCGGGAGAAACTGACTTCCTGCGCTAATCTGCTGAGACCAGAACGGATCTCGCATGGCCTGATCAACGTCGTACGGCGCGAATCGTTCTGCGACCCATTGCAACGGCTGCTTTCCGCCGTCCTTGGCCGCATACGACTGGAAGGACGATGTAAAGTACACTTCGCCTTGCGGGTTGTTCCTCTTGACGAGCGGTCGCAGCTGGAGAAGGAAGCGTTCCTGGGCGGCCATGTCAGCCTGGCGGCTGTTATAGCCGTGAAGCAGCATTAGACTCTGAACGGTCCCGTGGTCGGCGCTGTCGATGACGAGCTTGACATCGTCGAGTTGGGCCGGTGCAATCTGGAAGATGGCGACCTTTTTGCCGGCAAGCTCTCGATGCATGTCTCGCGCGTTCAATCGCGGAATCTGCATGGCTGGCACGCCGTTGTACCAGACTTCGTGCGGAGCTTCCATGCCCAAGGGATTGCCGCCTTCGATCAGCTTCAGCTTATCTTTGAGGTTTCGAGAGCCGAGGTGCTCGCTCTGGCGGTCCACGAAATTCACCAGCTCCTGAGCCGCATTCCTGTGCTTGTTGATTCCGGAGGTGACGACCACGACGCGCTGGTACTGCGGGTCCGCAAGCAAGCTCCACACCGCCGCCTTGTCGTCGAACTTTACATCGCTGAACACCACCGCCACCTTGCCTCGTCCGTTTGGCGCTGTTGCGAATCTTTCCGGGCCGGCAGCAGAAACCAGAGAAACGGACAAGAGCAAGCTTGTCGCTAGGGCGCCGATCAGCGCCAAAGGCACGATCCCAAAGAAACGTCCTGCGTGCATCTTGGGTCGAGTCTTGTAAGTTGCCCAGTTGAGAATGAAGTCGTCCCGCTTGCTCGAGCACGGGGAAAGAACGAACTACTTGTATGCCACGACCAGGTGGGGAGCGCGGTTGGACCACGCTGTCGAGTGCTATACCGGCGGGAGGGATGACGCCTTCGGCACTCCTCCTTCATCTCGTAGCGTGGGCCATGCTTGACGCGCAGAACCCACCGGACACTTGCGTGTCAATCATCCCACGCGCCGCCGAATGAATCGGTCCCACCGCTGCACGACTCCTTTCCGCTTATCGTGCCTGGGACTCCCTTCCTCCTCCTCCGGTGTTCGTCACGACCCACTTGGGCCCCTATGATGGTACCGGTGGGGACACGGTGGGGCCGTTGCGGATCATCCGTGTCGCCTTGTTGATCCCGGAATATCCGGTAGGAGAGGGTCACCACCCATCACGTCTTGGGCATTTCATCTCGCCACCGGATGCACGGTGGGGACCCGCAATGAGGCGAGACGATTGCTCTTCTCATCGCAACACACGGCCCGGTGTATCCTTATTTTGCGACTGTATGCGTCGTTCCGCTTGGACATATGCGTCGCTTCCTTTTGTGGCACCCCAATTGCACAGACCAACCTCGTCGCCGAGCTGCTTGATCTTGGCGAGGAGCTGCGCGAGGAGCTGCGCGGACAGGACACTCTGGTCGGCGGAAGTGAGATGCGCCGATCGCGATCGCACCAGGGCTGACTCCCCGATTCGAGGTGGATGGGAGTGTCGGCCCCTTTCACGGGTCTAACATCGGCAACTTTACTTTCGCGCACCGGAAATCCGCTTTTCGTAGCCGACTCGAAGCTTCCCCGGCCGGTCGGTTGGAAGGCCGCCTTTGTCTCGTGTCTCTCTCTCCATTCTTTTTCGCTCTGAGCGCTTTGCTTGCTTGCTCGCCTCCACACCCCTCTTCCTTCCTGTAGCAGCTTCGGGCTGCCCTCTGCACTCTTCCGCTTCACACCGTCCCGGCCTCCGGCTTTGCTTGCTCCCCACACCATCTCGCCGCCATGAGGACGTCCCGACTCCTCCGCACCACCACCTCCTCCCTCCTCGCCCGTCCCCAAGCCACTACAGCCGCAGCCCGCCTCGCTCCCTCCCTGCCTGCCCTGCCTGCCCTGTCCGCCGCTTCCCGCACCATGACCCGCGTCAAGACCGCCAACGCAAGGCTCAGCCAGGTATCCCGCCAGTTCTCCTCGTCCGCCTCCATGAGCGCCTCTGCGCCCAAGTCTGGCGCCGGCGCCGGTGCCAACGCCGCCCTCGACGACAACAAGCTCGTCAAGCTGCTCTCCGAGGGCGGCCTGCGCACCATCCTGCTCAACCGCGAAAAGGCGCTCAACGCGCTCAACCAGGAGATGGTCGACCTCATCGATGCCGCGCTCGACGAGTGCATCCAGGCAGCCGCATGCAACGTCATCCTCCTCCGCGGCACCGGCCGTGCGCTCTGCTCCGGCGGCGACGTGCTCGCCGTCGTCAAGGCCGCCGACTCGGCCGATGCAAAGGTGCGCAACACCGCCCTCGACTTTTTCCAGTCCGAGTTCCAGCTCGACTACAAGATCGCGCGTCTCGGCGAGGCGGCCAACGCGCACAGCGCCGGCAAAGGCGCCGAGGACGCACGCACGCTCACCAAGAGCAAGGGCGGCGAGCTCAAGAAGCCCAAGACCTTTGTCTCGGTCATGGACGGCATCACCATGGGCGGAGGCGTCGGCCTCTCGGTGCATGCGCCCTTCCGCGTAGCTACCGAGCGCACCATGTTTGCCATGCCCGAGACCGGCATCGGCTACTTTCCCGACGTCGGCGTCACGCGCGTCCTCGCCCGCCTCGACGGACGCATCGGCCAGTACCTCGGCATGACCGGCGCGCGCATCTCGGGCGAGGAGGCCTACCTCGTCGGCCTCGCCACCCACTACGTCGCCTCGGGCAACATCGACGCGCTCGCCCACCGCCTCAGCACGCTTCCTGCCGAGAGCGCGCTCAACCCTTCGCTCGTCTCGCAGGCGCTGCACGAGTTTGACGCCGACCCGCTCGCCGCCAACGAGACGCTCGCAAAGTCGGCCTTCTTTGGCGACCGCCGCATCGCGCTCGACTACGTCTTTGGCCAGCTGTCGTGCGAGAGCATCTTTTCGTGCCTCGACGAGATCGCAGCGGGTAAGACGGACAGCCAGGCTGCGGTGGAGCTGGCCGAGCTCGGACTGGCGCACATCACGCCCGAGGTGCAGGCCTGGGCGCAGCAGACGCTCAAGGACCTCAAGACCAAGTCGCCGCGCGCACTCAAGATCACCCACCAGGCCATCCTCGAGGCGAGGCGATTCGACGTCGAGGAGGCCTTCCGCTTCGACATGCGCCTCGCCACCGCCTTTTGCGACTTTTCCATCGGGCGCGACTTTTACACGGGCGTGACGCACGTGCTGGAACGCGACCCGGCCACGGGCAAGCGTCGCACGGGCATCGCAGCCTGGGACCCGCCTTCGCTCGACAAGGTCTCCGACACCCAGATCCGCGCCCAGTTCTTCTCGGACCTCGACACGGCTCGCAAGGCCGGATTGCAGATGGACGTGCCCGAGCTGCCGTCGGTCCCGGCACCCGCCACCTCCAAAGAGGCCCGCCAGGCACGCGACAGCCTGCTGAGGGGCAAGGGCCCGCTGAGGTGGGAGCAGAGCCACAACGTCTTTGCCCTCCCGTCCGAGGCCGAGTGCGCTGCCTTGCTCGAGGGAAACCACCCGGCCGCAGCAGCCGTCACCCCGGACAGCGCAGAGCTCATCGACTGCCTCAAGCGCCACAAGGGTCACCTCCCCGGCCTCGAGTTCAAGGTGGCCGACTGGATCAAGCGCTCCCACCGCTCCGCATAACCAGCTCATAGAAGCATTGGGAAACACACGAAATGCACGCGATTACCATGACAACCCGCACGCTGCTACCGCCGTGTGCTCTCGTATGACATCGAGTGTCGTCGCTGAGGCTTCATCGTCCCCTTCGGAATCAACAACGGCGCCCGGTCGTATGGTGAGCATTATTGATTTGAATTTTATTTCTTTTTTTCGCGTCGCCTCCACCCCGCCGCGCCTTGGCTTGAGATACTTTTTTTGTACGACCGTATCTCCTCGCTGCGGCCGAATTTTACCATTTTTTCTGGCCAGTATATATTGTGTTGCAAGCCTCTCCCTTGTATAACAAGAAAGACCAGCGCTGGTCGTATAATGGTTATTATTTCTGCCTTCCATTTCGACCCTGGATTATGTAAGATTACGTAATCAGTCTGGTAGCAGAAGACAGGGGTTCGATTCCCCTCCAGCGCAAATTTTTTTGGCGTTTCTGGCCCCGCGCGACCGCAGAACCACGCGCCTCTTTTTTTTTTCGATCCAAATCCTGCCCAGTATTTCCGTGGACCACCCCCGACTACCTCACTTTGCGGTCTTCGTGCTACGAAATCGATTGCGTCGCTACAGTGCATTCTTCGTCAATGAGATCGCGTGAGGGAGATCGTACATGCTATCAAAAGCCTTGCTACATGGTTCTCTTCGAAGTCTCCCGGCATGCTCTGTCGGGCACTCGTAATGCCATCATTTCTTCTCTAGGGGACGTTCTTTCTTGGTTTTTTGATTTTTTTACTGTTTCTTGCCGTGCACAAGTGGAAGGTGGTCTTGATCGAGATGCAAGCCAAGCTGCTACGCAAAAGCTCATGCGATGGATCAACGATTCATTTCTTCCGAGATGCGATACTGGGTCCTGGCGCAGACGCCTAGCAGCTGCTCGATGGTGATCGTCGGGCCGAAGAAGTCGAGCTCGGCTTGGTGCTGCTGCAGGAGTTGAGGGACGACGCCATTCTGCTCGCGCATGTCATCGTCGTCGAGCATCGTGTCCAACGTTCGCTTCCTGCGTGCCGACGTTGCCCTCAGCGGCTCGGACTCGGGCAGCTCGGTGTGAGTCTGAGCGTTGCGGTCCGATGTCCTGCGCTCGCGAGTGTGAGTGTAGTCGTGGCGCTCGTCCGGGCGATCGGCAGCATTGCGCGGAAGCGGAGCGTAGTCCCTGCATCGGTCCATCGGTCCGCCAAGCTCGGGGACGTTCTTGTACACCTCGCGCTCGGCCGCGAGGAACGCGGGAGTGATGCGCGTCAGGTCGACGCCTTTCAACCTCTGGACCATCGCCATGATGCGCGGCATGTCCAAGATCCAGCCGAGACTGCACGGCTTGGATCGCGCCGAGCACAAGCTGCACTTGATCTGGCGTCCGTTTGCCGAGGGCCTCCTGCAGTCGATCCCCCGGGACTGGCACGTTAGGCATCCCTCGTCGGTCCAATGGCGATCCATGGAGAGGAGTCGTACGGCCGCTGTCTCGGCAGTGACGTGCGACGCCTTGGATTGAGCACCAGCCTGGACAGCAGCGGCCTGGGCTTCGGCAGCCACAGATTCGACGGCCTCTGACTCGTCAGCCTCGGACTCGTCAGCATACGTTCTGTCAGCCTCGGATTCGTCCGTCTCGGAGTAGGTCAAGTCCGATTCGTCAGCCTCGGCAGCCGTCGGCCGCGTGCGGCGAGGAGGCAGGGCGGACGACGAAGCGACGGGCTGGCGGTCGACGCGAGCAAGGGTGGGTGACGAGGCGGAAGGCTGAGCCGCATGGCCAGCACGCGATGTCTGAGGCGGTTGGGCGGCGCGAGACAACCTTGGCAACCTAGCCGAGGGATGGGCGCCGCGCTGTGCCCAAGGCTGGGCTGGCGATGCTCGGCTTTGGACTACGTGGACAGAGATAGTGTCAGTAAGATGAGCAATGCTGAAGCGTCGGAAGCATGAACTTACCGGTAGGAGGGACGATGATCCATCGTCCGTCCGGATCACGGCCATATCTGAACGGGCCAGACATGGTCAAGAATCGCGCGGGTCGATGTGTGGGCGACCGGCTAGATGCTGGAGTTGGCGGTGGAGCGGAAGCAAGGTCGGAGGGAAGCAGGTGCGGCAGAAGAAGTTGCGGGACCCGCATGCGCAAAACAGTTGAGGAGAGCGGTTGCGGAGGGCAGGTGCGGAGGGCAGGTGCGGAAGGCGGCTGCGGAGCTTATTCGCGGATCACGGTGGCGAACGCCGTCGATTCACGGCGGTCCTCGACATTTGCCTGCACGATTAGGTCTGTGACAAGCCGAGGCCTGGGTCCATGCTCGGCGTACGCTCGACTGCTTCTCGGTCTGTGGTATCGACTGTGACATGCCCAGCCTTTCCATCCTCCGCTCTCAAACGCGCGTCTGGCGCCATCTGCAATGACATGGTCATACGTGGTGACGGACACTTGCAGTATCTTGAAAGCAAAAAAACAAAGATCGCAAATTAAGACTTCATGTTGGACTCGAGACAGGAAGTCAAGCAGGATGTTCGACTGCATGCCAGCTTCATGCATAGTGCTGTTGCGGACGCGGGAAGGGGGAAAGGCCATCGGGATGTAAGTCTGGGCGGCGCTACGATCAGATGGCGGGTGCTTAGAGGTGCGAGTACGGGCGTTGCGTTCGGAAAGCAGACGTGCGACCCGGAGCTTGCCACTGGGGCGCGGGACCGAAGGGTAGTCCTCGCATCGGCCCTTCGGTCCCAGCTCGGCGACGTTCTCCTACACCTCTCGCTGGGCAGGTCCAGTTGCGGTCTGCCTTCGGAGTTGTTTCTCGCCTGCGTCACTTGAGGTTTCTGCGCAGCTTGTGGATGCGATCCCACCAGCGCGGGTGGTATGCCGCAGCCCGCACGAGCCTGCAACATATATATCGACTTGCCGGCGTCTTATCCTCATCCCCGCGTCTGTGGCGCTCGATTCTTTCTCTAGGCGCTCATACGTGGTGACGCGACGAACTTTTACGCTCGACGCACGTAGGATACACGCTCGAAACACGTGCCTGGTGAGTAGCTGCGATCGTCTGGCAAGTGCCGCACTCGACGCTGACCCGCTTCTTTGCTGCTGCTCTTCGTGTCGCAGGCCACATCGTGCAGTCATGGCGGACCGAGACCGCGACACGAGCACGCTCTTGGGCGCCGACATCGAGAGCCACCACCTGGTGGATGCATCCGAGCGCGCAGAACTGGAGCGCAAGGCCTTCGACATCGACGGCTTCGTCGGCATCGAGCATGACTTTGTCAGCTCGGACGACGAAGGCACGATCACACGCGTCTTTTATCGCTTCGGACCCCACCACACGAAGCCGTTCGACATCAACCTTGCGAACCTCGCAGGAGATCTGCCGGGCTTCCTGCGCATGTTGCGCTGGCCCGCCGAAGGCGAGACCGAGTCGGACGCGCAGCGCCACCTCGACATGCTGCAACGCTCGGGCGATTACGCTGCCACCGCTAGGACGCCTCCCACCACGCCAAACACGCGCACGGAAGACTCTGCCGCGGTCAACAAGGTAGAAGACGACCAGTCTTGAGACTCGCCGGTTCGGGCGCTCACGATGCTCCCCGCTCTCTCTGTGCCGCCTTGGTTGCGAGCACCTTTTTCCCCCTCATGTCGTCTAAAGAAAGAAAATCAATTAAAAAAAAAGTCTTCCCCCGCCTTTCCTCCCGTCTCAGCGTGCGGCCTGCCGCGGGTGTGTGTGTGCGTGTGTGCGGCAGACGAGGACGATCAAAAGACGAGGCAAAAGGCGAGACGACTTAAGATTGAGACGAAAGAGACTAAACACAACGACAAGAAAAGACCGCGCGACGTTTCCAGTCGGGCTGCTACACGCGCCTCCGCACGCGCCGGGTCGGCCCGGCATCTTCGTTGTCCTCGTCGTCGTCGTTGGCCGCTGCGGCGGAGCGAAAAGCGGCCGAGAGATCGGTGCGACCGAGGAGGGGAATGGTTGCGGCCTGCCCAAGCCAGGCATCGTCGCTGCGGCCCTGGGCTCGCCCCACGCGCGCGGCTTGGCGCGGCTCGGCGAGGCTCCGTAGGATGCGCTTGACGGTTGCCTTGCGGCCTGAGGCCTGGGCTTGGACAAAACGCCGGCCCTGGGCGTCGACGACGAGGAAGCCGGACTCGCTGGGCGAAGTCCGCTCGAGCATCTGGATGGTCATGCGCAGCACCGCATCAGACCGGAATTCCGGAAGCCCGCATGCATTGGCCAGACGGGCCGTGGTGGCGTCGGCCATGCTGAGCGTGCAGGGTTCCGAGGCCGAGACGGTCCATCGCAGGTTGGGCGGCGGCGGCGACGGCGCAATGGTGGCGGATGGCGACAGCGGCGGCGGGCGCTGCGGCAGCGGATGTCGAGGTGGACGGGCCGGCGGTGGATGCCAAAGTCGATGCCAAGGTGGACGGCGCGGCGGCGGTGGATGACGCGGCGGCGCCATCGTCCGACGAGCCGACATCGACGAGCTCAAACGCCCGAAAGACAAACTGGTCGCGGGCCTCGCGCTTGATGTGGACCCGGAGGAAGTTACGATTGTCAAAGAACGACGGATCGGCCTCCTCGAGAGCGTGGGCGATGCTGATGCCGCTTTGAAAGATGCCATCGTCATCGGCCATCTGGGCAAGCAGCAGCACGGGCTCAAGGCAGGCGGCGCCGCCGCTGTCGTACAGCTGTTCGGTGCGCCATGTTCTCGGGTCGGCCGGGCGGCCCTCGACATTGCGGAACGTGACGTCGCAGTGGAGCCGGGAGCGCGGCGACGCTCGGCGAGCGCCTGTCGCGCGCTCGCCGACGATTTCGCCTGGGCCGGTTTGGCCGTCCGCCTCCTCGGCCACTTGCCGCTCCTCGGCTGCTTGGGCGGCCGCGTCGTTGCTGTCGTCCTCCTCGTCGGGAATCCAGAGCGTGAGGAAAAAGTCGACGTCGCGCCAGCGCAGCGCGTCGCTCTGCAATCGGCCGAGCACAACGTCGCTGGGCCGCACGGCGCAGTAGGCGATGAGTTGATGGAACGCGGCCATCTGGATCTGCTCGCGCGGGCAGCGCAGCAGCAGATGGCTGCCGAACGCGCCCTGGCGGACAAAGTGGACGAGATTGTCGTGGGTGGCCACCGGCCTGGCGCGTTGAGCAGACACGTTGCCCCGGCGGATGAGCGCATTGGCCTCCTGGACCACGGCGGGGTCGACGGGGCGGCGCGTGAGGCACGAATACGTCACCTTGATGATCGCGAAGCACTCGAGCGCCTGCGGGACATAGCTGCGCGTCTCGTCGTCAACCAGCGGCTCGCGGAAGCGGTAGATGCTAAACCGCGCCAGCATCGTCCAAAAGCGGCGGTCCGCAGAGAGGTCGTGGCGCGGCGGCGAGGAGAGCACGTCGTCGACGGTGACGGCACTATCCGAAGCGTCGCCGGCGATGCGCGGCAGATAGACCTCCTCGATGAAGGTGCGCAGGAATCGCTCGGCGACGCCGTTGGCTTCGGTCGTGCTGATACGAAGGCTGCCCGCGTACTCGGTCTCGGTGGCAGACCTCCACTCCTCGTCGGCGTTGGCCACGAACCTGCGCAGCGCTGGCGTTGTTTGGAAGCGCGACGCGACGATCTGCGCACTACGCTGCAGCTGCTCGCACGTGATCGTCGTATGCTCGCCAAACGTAACTCGGCCCGCGTTAACATCGGCCAAGGAGGGCTGGAAGGCGCCACGCTCGGGGCCAGACGAGCTCGGCATGGCGG